CACGACTCCCTCCTAGGTAGGTCATGTAATGGCGCGAAGTGGCCTAAATAAGGCCGCTGTGTCAGTATTGAAAAGCAGTTTCGATTCAAAATGGTGTTTGTAGTGTTGTGGAGGCGACCCAGACGACTCACGAGGGGCGCAGACACTACTACCACGAACTAATCGCCAAGGAGTCGACGACCCAACTTGACAAGCCGGAAGAGCACCGGGGCATTCAACGAGCCTCTTAGCCACCAATCCAACAATGGTAGAGAGTGCAACGCTACCATTGGGACAAACAGTACTTCTGCGACTTATTCCTTCCCTCGTTAGAATAATTTTCAGAAGAAGGAATCCTCGTTGCACCAGACTGAAGTGCTCAGCTGTGTTTGCAACAGCTTGTTTCGCCAAAATAATCTTCCACATTCGAATACTCACTTCACTGCAGAGTCATCCACCCTGATCAGTTTTGGCTTATAGTTTCCGTCCGGAAGAAATTCAATGCCTCCGATAAGGCTTGTCTCATAGATAAGCATCTGGTCCACTCGCCTAAAACAGAAACACCCATACAGCATCGGCTGAGAGATTTTCATATCTTTTTTGTGCGTTTTGTGCTATAACAGTTGCGAAAAAACAAAACGCATACTGTTGCGCCTCTGCCCGTGTATGTAATGTGTGCATGTGTATGTTTTTATGTATGCATGTAAGGATGTATGTATGCATATGCGTCGGTTTCTTTTTTTTGTATGCATATATATGCGTGCGTTTCAATTTAAGAACTAGAAAAGCTAGGGAGCTTATATTTTAAGAGGATATTCCATGCCTACATGTTATATCTCAAGTTCAGATTCAGCTTTCACGGAGCTCAGATCCCATGAATGGACATGTGAAAATTTTAGCATAAAAATCGCTAATTCGTAAATTAAAAAAGTTTGGAAGCTGAAATTTTAGGAATTTATTAAGTGATTATGCGTGTCTTCAAAAATTTTAAACCTTGCTTTTACGCATGACTAATTTCCATACAAATGTTTCGAAAACTACCAAATCCGGAATCGACAAAACAGGAAGCCTTTATGCTTAGAAGGAGCTTTTAAACAGAAAGTAGAACCCTTTATTATTCAGCAAAGGTACTGATCCTGGCCATATATTACAGGTCATTCGATGGATGCTGCTTCACAATTTTTTGCTCATGTGCGACTCCAGAAATTTTAGATTCAGCTCCCACGCACATCCAGGTCTCACTTAAGGACACACAAGAGTTTTGCCGATCAGAACATTCCAATGATTTCTGCACATGTCAAGCAGTAAACATTTTTAACAGCAAACATCTGAAAGGAACTGCACAAAAGGCATTTTCACGCCAGCTACGCTTGGTGCGCGTCGCTGATTAATCCTTATTGTTCCCACGTCTGTTTTTTTTCCTAGCTTCTCTCAGCTTATCTGCTTTATTTCTTGGTTCCAAAACCAGGAGTTGTGAGAGTGCATTACCCCAAACCGTCAAGCAAATGAGCGCCGTACTGCCCATACATTCAATCAATTCAGACTTTTTTATGCTATACTGCTTTTTTTCAGACTTCTTCAGCTACAAACGTAAAAAAAAAGAAGCGCAGTAGTTTCTGTACAGAAGAAGCAGTCTCAGTGCGGAAGTCGCTGCACCAATGAAGCCAGTGCCCTCAAGCACCATTTGTGACTTTAACATTTTAATCATAGCATCTTTCCCTCAACAGGTAGCGGTAATTCCGCGACGTCCACAAGTTCTCTCCCGATACTGACAGTCGCAGCGAAAACAGAAAGAATGTAAGTGTGCAAGCTCAAGCATAGAGAAAAATCATACCGAGTAAGCAAAAAGTAGAGCCCCTTATTATTCAGCAAAGGTACTGATCCTGGCCATACATACAGATCATGCGATGGATGCTGCTTCACAAGTGATTCCAACATCGCAATCTTAGCAGCATTGGAATTAATTTTCATTTATTAATTAATCAGTCACATTTCTTCTTTTACATGCACACATACATACATGTATACATATATACACACATACACAGATATATGCATACGTGTATAGATACATACTAACACACTTAAATTCATACACATATGAATGCATGCTTACATACATACATACACACATACATACATACATACATACATACATACATACATACATACATACA